GGGGAAGGAAGGGCATGTGTTCATTGTTTAATTAGTAATATTTTCATACAAGCTACAGCTACTTTTTGACTTAGTATTGAGTTCTGTCCTGATAAACATATTGTAAATTGAAAATACCATTAAGTCAAAAAGGCATTTGCTCATGAAAGAAAACACTCTCATATCAAAGGGTCCAAATACGGGCAACCACGGCCCTAAACACAGATTTAGTTCTCCCCAAATACCATGTTCCAATGAAGTAGCAATTTTATAAAGTTTTTAAGATACAGAACAAAGAAAGCCATAAATCAACACACTTTTAAAATGCATTGCTGGGAACTTCAGGCAGACGTGTTTCAGCAAAACAGAGGAAACTTAGCTATAGGCCTCAGATGCTATCTGATGACATTCTTAGCCCTTTGGTTGGTGGACACTAGGGGACTGTTTGAACATTCCAAAGGATTTGCTTTCTGGTCACAAATATCCTAGGTCACATACAGAGGAGGTAATAAGTGGCTATTAAGGATGGTGCAAGATAATTTGGCTTTGGACTTGCAACATTCCAAACTCTCCACATCAACGATGTTCTGATCAGTCAAGCAGCCTTTGTAGTCACAGCATCTCTCCAGACATCCTTGTTTACACATTTAATACCTCTAGCCTACTGAGCCAAACAGTTTAGAAACATATATGTAGCTACATAAGATTACGTTGGGAAAAGAACCAGATTAAAAATTCAAAGTATGGTTTTTACTGAGTGCTTATTGCTCTTGTACCACCACAAAAGTGGAAAAAAAGTCAAACGATCTCAAGTCAGGATCCTATCATCTAGCCAGTGTGTCTAGCCTGCCTTAGGTATCCCTGCATAGCTATGAATACTGCCTAACACATTTGTAGCTGACAGTATCATGCCACGATGTCCAAAGGCTGGACAGTCCTGAATGTTCAACCATTTTCCATAGTGTTTTAAAAGTGAAGTTCTTCATTTGCATAATACAAGTCCTTAATAAAAGAAGCTTGGTAAATTGGGAACTGGATATTTATTCTGCTCACAGTCCAAACGGATATGTTCTATCATGGTAGTGAAGGATTGTGGTAGAAGTAGGAGGCCAGCTGGTCAAATCGCATTTGTAGTCAGCAAGCAGAGGGTGAACAGGAAGTGTGGTTGGGCTACGAAATCTCGGGGTTGGTATCCAGTGACACAGCAAGGCTCCACCTCCTAAATATCTAAAACCTTCTTAAACTGCACCACCAGCTGAATATCAAATGTGCAGACACAGCCTGTGGAGGGCATTGCACATTCATAATGGGCAGCCATTGGGTTTTCTCCTTCCACAGTTTTCTAGATGGTTTGGAGTATGGCTGAATTTTCTTTGCCTCAAGTGCAGTGGATTGTGCCAAGTGGAGACCTTTCATGAAAGAACAACCTGCACTGTACTGAGCTTTCTTGCAAGATTCTGTGTACTTTCTTAGAAGGATGTTAAGGAGCATCCTCTACTCAGTAAGATTTCCTAGGCCAGGCCAAGATGATTAGGTAGCTTTGATCAATAATGGCATCAATAGATACTTCATCATAACAGTGGGGGTGAGAAGTCTGTCCGAGAAGACAGAGCATATGGAAAGCATCAACCTCCCTCCCGCTGGCTGAGAACCTCCCTCTCCACCCCCCTTTCAAAAGCCCTAATGTGACTGAGTGTGCTCAAAGCTTGGGCACCAAAGACAATGGTAGCAGAAAGAACAGGACTTTGATGGATGTTCCAGGCTCCCTGAGCTGCACCAGGCTCTCCTAATAATGTGTTGTGTGCTTAGGATCAGGATTTCAAGACTGCTCTGTGGTGGGATGGGCTAGGGAAAAAGGGATGAACACTATCTTTCCTCCAATGACACTGGTCCTAGAGCAAACTCCTAGGTAGTGAAAGGTGGAAGGATACTGGCCTGAGAGAGCACAGGGAATTGCAAGGGGTTCTTTATTTAGTTAATATCCAAGTGCCGACTGTGTGTAGCAAATGGTATGGGAATTTAGGATGTATTCACGAACACCCAGGGCACAATCTCTACCTACATGAAGCTTATGATTTTAGAGGAGCAAACCAGAAAATAACACAGCTAAATAACATGGTATGCTAGTAGGTAACAAATACCTACCAAAAAAAGGCTAAGCAAAATGAGGGAAATCAGTCAAGAAAGTAGGGGAATGAGATTTACAATTTTAAAAAGAATTATGCTGCTGCCCAAAGTTTTAAAAAATGGTTTGCTCTCTCAGCTATCTATCATGCATCAATCTTCTATCAATCACATCTATCATCTATCTGTTGACTGATTATTTATCAACTATTGATCTGCCCACAATCTATTATCTATCTATCTATCTATCTATCTATCTATCTATCTATCTATCTATCTATCTATCATCATCATCATCTATCATCTATCTATCTATCTATCTATCTATCTATCTATCTATCTATCATCTATCATCTGTTTTTCAGTTATGAGGATTGAGGCTAGGGCCTCTCACTTGTGCTAGGCAAGGACCCCACCACTGAACTATAGCCACCAGCCCTTTTTTTGCCTTTAAAAAATTTTGAGACAGGGTCTTGCTCAATTGCCCAGGCAGGTCTTGAACTTGTGATCCTACTGACTCAGCTTCCTGAGCAGCTGAGATTACAGGCTTGTGCTACCAGGACCAGCCTAATGTATGCGCTTTAAATAAAGTGTTCTGCCTAACTGAGGGCTTGGCTGATATGTGAATATGCAAATGCTAAGCATTATCATAAATAATTGTGAAGTTCGTTTGATACATAGGTCCTTGAGGGCTCTGCTTTCAACTGGTAACATCACAGAATTTATATCTGAAATCAATTCACAAGAGTGAGACTGTGCCTCAAAACAAAATAAATAATAAACATAATAATAATAAAAGGGCCAGGGCAATGTCCTATTAATTAAGGGCATTTCCTACTCTTGCAGAGGTCCTGGATTCAGTTCCCAATACCCATATCAGGCAGCTCACAACTGACTGTAACTCCAGCTCCAAAGGATCTGATGCCTTCTTCTGGCCTCCGTGGCACTGACAGATATGATGCTGCAGTACATATACTCACATACACTTTCATACACAAATTTAAAATAAAAAGCAATTAAAAAATTAATTGGACATAAGAGGAGAATCTGCATTCATTATTTTACTAGTTGTTCCCTTCTGCCTTAGAAATCATCAGTTGTTTCATTTTAACTCAAATAAGACATTTTCTTCAGTTTTTATATTTGGATGCAACAGTTTGGCTATATTTCTTTGGAGAAAATGATGATTTGGGGATTCCAGAAGATAGCACTTGAGCATAACTATGTCCCCATCACTGATGACTCAATTCTGGATAAAATTTTGCATGCCTGGCAGCAATATTTGTCTTGTCCTGTGCCCTAAAACTGGAACAACCTTTGAAACACTGAGGTCACTGATGGCTACAAATGTAGGTCCAGGGCTACCCCAATGCTACACCCACATTTAGCACAGAGGAAAGTTGTTCTTCCAGCTGCTAGACGTTTGTCAGCACCTTGGGTTCTCATTTGGCCCTCTTGGGGTGCCTACACCCAGAGACAGGCAAACAACAGAGCTTCTGAAAACCTGAGCCCTGTACCTCAAGGAAGGTGAAACTGTAGAGGCATCCAGGCATGACAGTCCCTGTGGGGGCTGCTGAGGCCTCTGTAGGAAATGTTTTCAGTTACCATTTTCAGAGATCACCATTGGTAAAACCCCAATTAAGTCTGAATTCTCACCAGCCTGCTATTCTGCCAACACCTGACCCTCGGACTCCACTTCTTGTGGCCCCTTTCACTCTCCTTATGGGAATGTTATAGCTTCCAGCTCCCTGCGAACTGTTGGTCTTCTAGAAGGGAAAAAATGGGCAAAAACTCCATCAGTTATAGCCTCAGTGGCCAGGACCATTGCTGGGTGCTGGCCTCACTCACCCTCTATCCTGAGCTGCTGGCTTCTGGAATTACCTACCCTCACAGGTCCAGCTGTATCCCTTCATCCATTGAAACCTGGAGGAAAATATGACCACTGTAGAACACAACAATTATGAGATTTTGGGCTACACACAAGAGTCACGGGGCCATTTCCTCACATGTTGGTTAAGCTCACATGCACAGAGAGGTCCTCCAAGCACAAGGCCATCTTACAGAAAGTTCAGCCACAGTGGTTTCAGTGGCAACATTTTCATGATCTGGGCTTTACTGGGACTCCTGCTTCAGAAGTCAGAACTGACTTAAGACATACTTTGATTTCTCTTTAAACAGTCCCTCTCTGGGTATACTATTACCACAGGGGTTTGTAGGCACAGCCTCTTTCATTGTATTGTTTATTCCAAATAAAACACCACACCACTGAGACTTTGGGGGCCCCTTAATACCCCAGAATTTTTTTTCCAGTTGCCTGTCTGTCTAAAATGATCCATGGCTCCTGTATGGGTGGGTAAAGTTAGTGCATTCAAAGAGCTACAAGTCCAGCATCCCCACTGAGTTCATTGTTTTAGATCCAAGTATAGGACTTGCTGCCCCAAGATATTTCTTCATTCTTCATTAGGGACTAGGTAACTGGATCTCACTGCATGGAAATCCTCCTTCGAAGGCTTCTTGGCATCAGACTCTGCTTTCAACTCCTGCAAACCTTATTTTGGAAAAAAATGGTCATTTATAATATCAACGTTTCTAGATCATGTTTTAAAGGCAGCTACAGGCGCTTGGAGCTGCTACATGCCAAAGGCTGTCTACTTCGAATCTAGCAGCTCCCTAGGTTGAAACCAGAGCAAGACTTGGAGACAGCGGCCAAGAGTCCCAAAACTCCTGGGGGATATTTATAATCCCTGAATTCAACCGAAATTGTTTCCACTCAAAATTAATACTTGGAAACAGATTTTTAAAGCCCAAATTTAGACTGTCTATAGTGCTTTTGGCCTTCTGTGGAGCAGCTCCTTGAAATAAATGTATTAGAAGCTGATTGAATGTAAAATTGTTGTTTACACTGAACAAAATATTTAAAGGGATGCCCTCTTTATCCAGAGTTTTTGTAGCCAAGAAGCAGGAAGGAGTTGGCCGGCATCCACAGCTAGGAAGGAAGGGTGGGCACCGGGCGGGCCTGCGGATTGAACTGCTGTTTACACACGTGATTCTTCTCTGGCTTAAGGAAGGGGCTCTGCTTGGCGGATGGAACTGAGATTCAAATTTATGGAGGTAATGTGATACAGTGGAAGGCATTTGGCCTTGAAGTTAGAAAAGCTAGGTTCAAAGTGCCGCTCTATCAATTTCGTGCTGTGCAATCTTAAGCAAATCGTTTAGCTGCTCCATTTCTCCATAAATAAATGGAGGCCTACCAGCCCTGCTCTGCCTGCCTCTGCAGAGCCTCTGCTGCAAGGCTCCAGAGAAGAAACACCTCAATTCCAAATGCGGTATTACTCCCTGCTACCTTCTAAAAAAGCTCACATTCAAATCTCAACAACTTTTGCAATCTCTGATCAGAGTATCAGACCTTGTTTCACCAGTATATTGACATGAAGCTAGAAACTTGAGCACAAACAAAATGGACTTTCCAAAGGTAACCCCCAGCAATATAACAGACACTAATTAGGACATCATCTTTGCGGTAAATATCCCTTCATTTCTCCTCCTTTCTCCTCCCTTCCTCTCCCCTTTCCTTTTCTTCCTCTCTCTCTTCCTCTGTCTCTCCTTCCCTCCCTCCCTCCTTCTCTCTCTCCCTTCTTTCCTTCTTGATAAAATTATGAAACTTGACCATTCAGCACAAGCAATGTAAACAGCTAATCATTCATTTATTTCTATACTTATGCATTTCATAGTAATGTTTTGAAGACATGTAAAGTCTTAGACCATGTTCTATCTATGTGAGGGTTAACAGGCATAAATTTAAATTTCAGATAAAGGAACAACGTTTAGGTATAATACTCATACTTTAAATTTAGACTTGTATTTAAACTGCGTATTAACAATCAAGGTGCTGTCTTTTAATACTGCGTTTGCCAAAACTTTTTTAAGTTTCATGGGATATATTATGCTAAAAGGTTATCTGCAGATCCCTGAAATGCAAATCTGCTTCAATATTTTATTTTATTTGCTTAGTCTGGCAGCTCTGCCTGTGTGGTGGGAGCAGAGTGGCCTCTCCTTCTAGCAATGAGTATCTCACCGAGTGAGACAGTCACAAAACAGGAACAGATAAGTACAGATGCACCTGGGCTTACGATGCAGTTATGCCCCATGAATCCATGCTAATGTGAAAACATCTCAAGTCAAAAATACAATCAGGGGTCTGGGAGATGGCTCAGTGGGTAAAGTGCTTGCTGCACAAACATGAGGATCTGAGTTTGATTCCCAGAACCTACATAAAAAGCCAGATGTGGTGAAACACACTTGTAATCCCAGTTCTGAGGAGGCAGAGATAGGAGGGTTCCTGGGGCTCATTGGCCAGACAGTGCAGATCCAGCTGTACTGGTGAACTCCAGGTTCAATGAGAGAACAATAACAGCAATGTGGAAAGTGATAGAGGAGGATACCTGGCGGTAAACTATGGTCCACATAGATATACCCACATATATAGGTGGAAGTAGAAGTTTGGGGGCTGAGAGAGAGAGAGAGAGAGAGAGAGAGAGAATAGCTCAAGATTGAGTTTATCACACAGTAGTGGTATAAATCATTCCTAGGAAAACACAAGCTAAACTACATAGATAGATCTTTTTTTAAATTTTTATTTACTTATTTTTATGTGTATGTATATGAGTGCTTTGCTTGCATGAATGCAGGTGTACCATATGCATGCAATGCCTGTGGAGGTCAGAAGAAGGCACTGGATCCCCTGAAACTGGAGTCACAGATGGTCATTAGCTGCCATGTGGGTACTGGGAACTAAGCCCAGGTCCTCTACAAGAGTAGCCAGTGCTCTTAACTGCTGAGTCATCTCTCTAGCCCAGGGGTGAAAATCTTAAATGGTAGTGGGGACAAGAAGATGACAGACACGGACTGGCTGTAAAGCAGTGGGAAATGATGAGGAATCACAGATCTCAGAGGAGTGAGTCATTCAAACAGGCAGTACCACCCAATTTCTCCACCTAGCTAAGTCTATCTGTAGGACTACATGTTCCAAAGTTTTGAAAGAAACTAAAAACTCAAATTATTTCTGGGAAACATTTCAAGTGTTGGCAGCCACACCAGTATTTCCAAATATGTACTGTCCAAGTGAAATATGCCAGTGCATGGACCTAGACCATGTGTTGCGCAGTAATTTCATTTCAAAATAGAAACATTGCATCCTGCTGGGAGGCTCATTAAGACCCAGGAAACAAACAACTCTCAAGTCTCAGGACAAGAACTCCTCCTTCCTCAAGTATATATAAGCAGTAAGAACTATTCAGGAGAAAAGATTCTCTGACCTGTGGAGCTGCCTGCAAGTCGCATGGAGAGCTCCAGGGATGCAGCTTTCAGGAGAGTCATCACCCATGCCGGGGTGGCTTCTGTCTTTGAGTCACCCATACTTCTGTAAGTAACTTCAGTAAAGTCACTGGTTTACCAAGACAGACTTGGGAAGAATCCTTTGGTCTCTTGTTGGTGTCCTGTTTGGGGTGAATAGTTACTTTTTCATATCTCCCCTAGAAAAATCACATGACACTACATGTGACAAGTTTGCTGCTAGTGACTTAGACCTTTCAAAGGCATCATATTTAGCACTAGCTGCTTTGATTATTAGCTGGGGAAGGGGATGGCCCGAATGGGCTGTGGCATGGAAGGACTTGCAATTGTCTTAAGCTACAGATTTGAACTGCAGTCTCTGATCTGTAGACTTAGTGGCTCTGACTCATGTTGCAATAGGACTTTGTACGCTGATCAACACAGGAGGAAAAGCAAACTCAGTGTTTTTATGGGGAATGGCTGCATACAGTTTGGGTTTAAGTGGTGAAGTGGTAAATGTGTGGTGGGGGCTATGAATAGGAAATCTGTGGCTTTAGTTGGAAATGTGATTCAAGCAAAAGCCAACAGCCTAGATAAAATTTCCACGGTCTCAAATTTGGGGTTTTGGGAAGGTCTCTGACTGTTTCCTTGGAGAATCTTTGGGAAGATTTCTCTGTATGAATAGGAGAAAATATGTGGTCTAGTTAAACATCAGGACTGATTAAGGGCAGGACAAAAATTCTATCTGCTCCCTCGTGGTGGCACAGTTATCTTCTGAACTGGATGCTCAGGTAAAAACAGCACTCTAGCAAGGAGAAAACTCGTATTTGATAATGTTATGTGTGACAGTGTGTGTGTGTGTGTGTGTGTGTGTGTGTTACCATAGGCGTTTACTCCTCTGGGCCATAGTAACCTTGAAGGCATAGTCACGGGCATGGATAAATAATCCTAATTCTTTTTATATCTCTATGTGTGTGCATTATGTGTATGTGCACTGTCCAACGTGGAGGTCAGATGACAAACTTGGGTGTTGTTCCTCACCTTTCACCTTATTTGAAACAGGGTCTCTTGTTCCCTGTTGCATACACCAGGCTAGCTGACCTGTGCACTTCCAAGGATCCTCCCATTTCCATCTCCCATCTTGCACAGGGACACTGGGATTACAGACATGCACTACCTCACCTTGTTTTATGTGGGATTGAAACTCAGGTCCTCATACTAAGCCATCTCCCAGCTCTCCTAATTGTTTTTGACTTATAATGCCTCAACCAATATATTTCTAGGAATCAAAGTCTTTCTTTATTCTGTCCCTCAAGTTCTCCAAGTACGTCACACACTAGGATGCCGATGGCTCTTGTGGTTAACATGAGCCTTTCTTTGTCTCTCGCTGTAGTGATCCCTGTCTGTGGTTCAACAGCCGACATTGACAAAAAGAACAGACTAAGAATGAGCATCCCAGGGGTTGTGGAGTGGCTCAGTGTGTGAAGTGTTTGCTGTGAAATTGCAAGGATCTGCGGTGGGATCCCCCAAACCCATGTAAAGCTGGGTGCAGTAGCGTGCATTTGTAACCCAGGAGCTCCTACAGGGAGACTGGAGGCAGATAGTCTGGAATGCAGCAGCGTACAACAAAGATCACTGTCTCAAACACCAGGATGGGCACCCCAGTTCGTTCTCTCACAGCACCACTGAGCCACACTACACTTATACCTGAATAAAGAAACAACTTGACTCTTAGCTTTTAGTTTTATGGCCTAGAGTAGATCTGAACTTAGAGTTTATGCCTTCTGATGTTTCTTAGAATTGTGCTCCTGAACCAGGCTTCACTCACACTTTTATTGAAGCAGTCTTTTCAGCAATAATTTGGAAAGTAGAAGCTAGGATCCACCCTTATCTTATCAGAGAATCTTGCCCTTTTATCTCGAGGGTTAAAACATACACATAATATCAAGCAGACTTCTCAGTCATTCTCACTGTTTTCAATAAGAATAGCAAACAGATTTCAGTGCTTTGATATGTTAACCAATCACACCCACATTCATTCACCATCTTGGGTAGAGGGCAAAGTGGGTCCTGAGAGATTAAGGTCAGGTGCCCAGGTCACAAGAGCACTTGGCTCAGTGACTTGTTTACATTAGAAACAGTAGCTTTTTGGTGCAAGGTTAGTAAAAGTCATTAGTCCAGATTTTGTCCATATTGTAAGAGTCATTCCTACATCCTCTGACCTCCACGTGTGCACTGTGATGGCGTGTTCACACTCACACAAATATACATATACATATGACACAGAGAGAGACAAGTGAGTGGGTGTGCCACTGGCCAGAAGAGCTAGTGTGACTAGTCACTTCTGCTCCCCATCTCCCTTCTATGGAGAAGCTATTCTGTCAGTTTCATTTTCTTCTTATATAAACAGAAATAATAATAAAGATTTCATAATGACAGAATTTCTCCATGCAGTACCTGGTATTTAGTAGGTGCTCAGTTCTTACACCAGCTTCCCTTGTCTCTTTCAACGTTAACCAATCTCAGAGTCTTGGAGTTCAAATGCAGTGTCCCAAATTCTCCATCATCTCTCCCAGGAGGCCAAGGGTGGGCTAGAGGAGGGTCACATCTGAGTCTGCCTCCAAATCCCAGAATTCCTTAGGTAGGAATGCATGTTGAGTGTTTTTCCCAGGCAACCTTGACCCCTGATACACTTAATAAATCAATTAGTAAGCACGGCCCATTTATTCTCCAAACTCTGACTTGCTTTCCATCTGCTCAGCGTAAGACAGTCTTGGTCCATGAGGGGCTGTCCGTCCAATGGGCAAGCCCAGACTTGTAAACAGAAAGTGCCATAAAGCATTAGAAATATGTATTGGGTGGCAGATGTTGGAGCCAGCTCACCCTCACATCTGGAAAAAATATGTATTGCAACATTTTCTGAACAATGTCTCCCCCCCCTTAGAAAGCTCTGTAAAAGTACTTACCATTCTAAATATGCAGGACATGATGGTGTGCCACTAGTGCCGAGTCCTACTGAAGTCCACAACTGTGTTTGCAGCTTGGAGGGTCCCTCTCCTACTATAACAGTAAGGCGGAAGTTTCTGTAGATAGGTTATATATCTGTCTCTCACAGCAATATCAACCTATGTAGATATGATTATATCAAAGGACAGAGATGAACAGCTGGCCTTGGAGAAGGCAAACCAACTCCAGGCAGGAAGGGTCAAGACTGAAGAACTGGTACTATTCGATGAGCTGAACATATGACTTCCCTTTGGACAGCCTCTGAGGGGTATGCTGCTCTCCTGGCTGACAGAGCTGGGAATGAATAGCCTGTGTACTCCTGTTTTCACACAGTCCATCAGATCTAAGTGAAAGGTTTGTGCTGCAGCCAAGAGCAGAAAATGATGGCTCGGCATCACTCTGGGAGGAGAGGATACTTTCAAGCAGACCCTGGCTCCCTGAGGGCTCTGGATACAATGCTCGCCAGGTGCCTCTGAGAACATCTGGTCTGAAAGGCCCACCCAGTGCTGCTCCTTCTGAGACACTCTCAAGGTTAGCAAATGCTTTGCATGCTTCCAGCAGCTGGCATGCAATTCTGGTCCTTGGTTTGTACTTCTAGTGAAGAGAGATGTGGTTTATAAATGAAGATTAAATAAAAGTCATTTGTGGGAGCAAGTATAACCTGGGCTAATTTTCCATAGTAAAGCTGAGTGTGCACATATAAGCCAGAAGATAAACTTTTCTCTCATTCTTCAGCCATCTACCTTTGGTTTTGAGACAGTCTTTCACTGGCCTGGAGCTCAGCAAGTAGGCTAGACTGACTGGCCAGTGAGGTCCAGCAATCCTTTCGTCCTCCTCTCCAGCACTGGAATTAAATGCAAGTACAGCCTTGCCCCCACCACTCCTGCAATTGGACTTATTCTTGGTTTATTAATGTGTATGCTTATATGATGTGTAAGTGTGTGTGTGTGTGTGTGTGTGTGTGTGTGTGTGTGATTATTCCTGTTTGTATGTATGGGCATATGCACAGCATGACACGGGTGTAGAGGACCAAGGACAATCTTAGGTGTCAGTCCTTACCTTCTACCTTGTTTGAGACAAGAAAAATTGTTATTTACTGTTGCATATGTCAAGATAGCTGGCCTCTGAGCATCACAGGATCCTACTGACTCTGCCTGCCTGTCATTTTGCCATAGGAGCATTAGGATTACAAAGGCATGCTCCTGTGCCTGGCTTTATGTGAGTTCTGAGGATTCTAAGTCAGTTCCTCACACTTGTGTGCCAAGTGCTTTAACCACTGAGCCATCTGCCCAGACTTCAATTTATTAATTTTTAACAGTATATACCAACCTCTTAGTTTTTATATGATACATGAACTTTTTGCATTTTTCCTATCATCTCAATACTGTTTTGCTACAACTGTTGGTTAAATCAATAGGTAATGTTTGCATCATTATTTCTTTATTAAAAACAAGGGGACTTAATATTTCAATTGATATCTCTTTTTCAAACTTTTTATTTTCATCTTTGTGGAATTAACACTGCCTTATGATTTCATCTCCTTGATTTGATGTGTCATTTTTCCCACAGTCTTCAGTAGTTTACCCTGTCTGTGGTGCCTTCTATACCATGTGTCAATTCCATCTTTTCCTTGAAGACTGAACCATTCTCCTGCGCCCATCTCTCTGAATAGCTTCCTAGGTCTAGTACAGAACAGACCTCCAGCCTGTAAGCAAAAAGGTGGCTGAAGGACAAATTTGCCCTTGATGTCTGAGTTGAGACAATCTTCTATTCTTGAACACGGCTGTTTCCTTTTCTGAATCCTGTAGGACCTCTCAGGTTTCATGTGTATGGTCCGGTTCCCATAGTGAAGTCTCTCTGTTTTCTTCCTTCCTTCCTTCCTTCCTTCCTTCCTTCCTTCCTTCCTTCCTTCCTTTCCTTCCTTCCTTCTTTCCTTCCTTCCTTCTTTCCTTCTTTCCATCTCAATCCATTATCTATCATCTATCTATATATCTACCTCCATCCATTATCTATCTATCTATCATCTATCAATCTCTATCCATTATCTACTTATCATCTATCTATGTCCATCAGTCTAGTATCGCTCTAGCATCTGTCAGTCATCTATCTAATCTTCCCTTCTACTCATGTATTCATCCAGTCCACTCAGCTATCTTCTTGATTCTCTTTCTCTGTGGAAACCTAATACATACTTCATGTCTTTTTAAACTTTCATGTTCAGAAAACGTGGGTCTTCTCAAGGGTGTTCAGGGAAAATTAAGCTACTTTTAGATATTCTGAAGGCACTCAAGTTGGGCTTCTACTGTGAGCTGTCATTCTCCCACCTACCCCCCAAAGCCTGTTAACATCTTTTGTTTTACGTTGTCTCTTTTTCAGTTATATTTGTCTTTCTGGCCTAATATCTTGCTGGGTTTTTATCATATTTATTTACTTACTGGGTAGGGAGAGGATTGCACATGTGTCACAGCATGCGTGGTGGTCAGAGTACAACTTTCAGGAGTCAGTTCTCTTCTTCTACTATGCATGTCCTGGGAATCAAACTCAGGTTGTCAGGCTTGACAGCAAGCACTTTTACCTGCTGTGTCCCCCAGTACCTTTTATATTTTCTCTTGGTTTTATTGAATGGGAGAGAAACTAAGTACATATTGTCAGTCAATCATATTAATTCAAAGTACCTTTCCATGTAGAAGGAGACTTTTAGAAGAGATGAAGAAGAAATTATGGGCTTGATAATGATTGTAGTTTCATGTTTATATGGATGTATTTTTATCTCCAAACACATAAAATTCTATACATTAAATATCTATAGTTTCTTTTATGTCAATTAAATTTCAATAAAGCATTTAAAATTCCATACTCACCTATGAAGTAAAAAAAAAAAAGTTAAGAGCAAAGAAGGAAAGTGAATCTCTGAACAACAAAAATACTCTTCCAATTTTCAATCATAGTTCACATCTTAAAATAAAACACAATACCAGGAAACAAGGAAGGGGCTTCTTTGACTTGAGGGTGTTCTGATCTCTGCTAAGTGTTTATCATTAAGAAAAAAAGCAGAGGCAAGGGATGTGAAGCAAGTGGGATTGCTGACAGAATAAGGAAGAAACAGGGAAGAGAGGGTCATTCTGAGATGGAGGGCCCGTGGGTACTTCCCTGCCCAGGGACTGACCACCACAGACTGAACCTGCCAGAAGAAGCAAAGGAGTTAGGAGTACAGGGGTGCTGGACAGGCCTTGTGGTGAGGGGTCTTGCAGGTTGTCATTGTCTGAGGGTTACACACTGTCCCTAAATGTACTGGCTTAAAATAACAAACACTGTTGATCCCACAGGGTCTGTGGGTTAGCTTCAGAAGCAGTTGAGTAGTGGCTCTGGCTCAAACACTCCTTGTGACGATACAGACCAGATGTTGGCCAGGGATACAGTCATGACAAGACCTTCCTGAGCTGGTGGGAACCACTTCCAGCAATCTGTACTTCTCTGAAAGTTGCCTGGAAGCCTCTGTTTTTCATTAGGTAATGTTCTTTAGAACAAAACTGTGGCTTCCCCAGACTGAGTGACACAAGTCACTGTGCCTTTTATGGTCTCTAAGGCTGAAAAACCTTCAGTTCCATTTCATTTGCTAGAACTGAATCATAAAATTTGAACGATAAAGGGAGCAGAATTAGGCTATAGCCTTGAGGAAAGAAGAATAAAAGAACTCAGTCTTTGACAAGGTTTTGTTTTGTCTTGGTTTTCTCTATTTTATTTTTGCAAGAATGAGGCTTAAATGATCTTTATTGATAAGCCATGACTATCAACAATGTACAGCATCAAAAAGCACATCAGTTAAAATGCCATTCTTGCTCTGGAGGCACTAGGAGGATCAAGATATTCTCTCAGTTGATGCTATAGTTTGAATGTATCTCCAAAATTTCATTTGTTGAGAACTTGGTCCTTGTCCTAATTAGCTTTGTCAACTTGACACAGCTTAGAGTCATCTGAGAAGAGAGCCTCAACTGAGGAATTTCCTAGATCAGACTGATGAAGGATGGTCAAGCCCACTGTGAGCAGCACCATTCCCTAGGCAAAGGGTCTGGACTATAAGAAAGCTAACTAAGCATGAGTCTGTGAGGGAGCCAGAGAGAAAGTCATGGTTCTTGCCTCCAGGTTCCTGCCTGAGTTCCTGTCCTGACTTCTCTCAGTGATGGATCATGATCTGGATATCCAGTATGTCAAATAAACCTTTTCTTCCCCAAGATGCTTTCGGTCAGAGTGATTTATCACAGCAACATAAAGGAAACTAGAACAGTTCTCAACACAGCAATGTTGTTGAGAGGTGAAAACTTTGCACAGTGATTGAACCATGAGGATTCATCAGTTCATGTGTGTTGTGTGACTTTTCCTGTGGAGATGTAAATAGATGTTGATTCCTCTTAGATGAAGACTAAATAAATGAGTCTATCCATGTCTAATTTGATGAACAAGTGAGATCAGGGTTACTTACAGGAACGTGGGTGACTCAAAGGCAGATGCATCACTGAAAAGCCCATCACAGCATGGGTCACAACTCACAAGAGCTGCCTCCCTAAAGCTCCCTGTACAACTTGCAGGCAGCTCCTCAGAAGTTTCCTCTTCCAGTTGTGGAAGACACTATACAAGCTGCTAAGGAAAAAACTCAATGGATGATCCAACCCCAGCTTTAAAGCCTAATAATCACAACAATGACTGGCACAGCGAACTGTATCAATGCAGTAGTAATATGTATATTTTGGGGGTAATCAACAACTATTTAATTGGACTTAAAGCCTGTTCAGTGGGAGAGAACTCATGTGTGGCATTGTAAACACAGCCAAATATACATGACTAGAGAGGTCATAGATCCTAGAGAAAACCCTACATCTGTCGCATCCCTATACAAACATAATTTCTTATTGTATCCTAAATACCAATCACCACCCAACAAAGAAGCTTCTTTTGCAACAAATGGAGACTAGTACAGAATTCCACACTGGGCACACAGAGACGAAGTGTCTGTGAGATGCCCCACCCTAAGTGACACATCTACAATGGAACCTCTACATGTAAAGCTTGCGGAGCATGGTGGAACAAGGGGTAGAGAGAATACTAATGCATCTC